CTGCCGCCACCGGCACCGGCACCGGGACCAGCGGCCGGGCCGCGCGGCGCCGCTTCGCCGTCGGGGCGGCTGCTCCGGGCCGTGGGGAGCGGCCCCGCCGGCAGGGAGGGCTGTGTCGGCACCTGGCGGGACGTCCCGGCGACCCGGGAGGCTGCCCCGGTACCGGGAGGGCAGTGTCGGCAGCGCGGAGGCTGCTCTGCCCGCAGGGGAGGCCGTTTCAGCACCAGGGAGGCTGCTCCAGTCCTGGGGCCCCCGGTGCTGGTCCCCTCGTGCACCCCCTGGAGCCACCCCTCTGCTGCGAGTGCCCCCTACCCACCATGGCCTGACCCATCCCCAGAGTGACTGGGACGAACTGGGAGGCCTGGGGGGGCATCCAGGGGATGAGCAAGGTGCTGTGGAGGTGCCCGGCCATGGGGCAGCCCCAGCATGGCACAGGCTGTGGACAGGGAAGCAGGGATGTCCTAGAAGTGACGGCATTAACAGCGAAACATCCCAAAACAGCGCAGAGATCACCCCAATGTGGAGTCAGGATCACCCCAAAACATGGTTGGGGCCCCGCTGCAGCAGTGCCCAGGGAGGGCTGCCCTCCTGCCTGTGCCCCCAGCCTGGGAGCAGGGGTCACCTGGGCGGTTGTGGCCTCTCTCCATGTCCCGTGTCCCTGCTAGGTGCCCGGTGAGAGTGCCAGGGACGGCCCCGCGAGGCCCCAGCAGCTGCAGAGCCGCCTCCAGCCCCACTGCTGCCCGACCCGGCACCACAGGGGCCCGAAAAGTTGCCAGCTGCCGGCACCTAGCGGCTGTGCGAGAGCGTCGGGCGGCGCGGAGGAGCCCGAGCAGCCCTGGACGCAGCCACGCGCTCGCCGCAGCACCGGTCCTGCTGGGGCAGGACCCAGGCGTCCGGGTGTCCCCACGCGACGAGAGAGGGACACGGCCCAGCTCGGCAAGGAGGGGACCCCTCCCCTGCAGGGTCTCTGGCAGCAGGGTTGAACTGAGCTTGGGTGTGCAGCAGAGACCTGCAGCACTCGTGTCATGGGCCATTCGGGAATGGCCCCAGGGGGACACTGGCAGGAGGAGCTGCCCTTGGGTGCTTGGGGGCAGCACAGACCTGTGGCACGGACAGGGCATCATTCCCAGTGCCAGGGGGCTGCACAGCGGCCCACACAAGCACACATAGCCCGGGCCCCTGCGCTTCGCAGCTTGGGCGACAGCACTTGCAGGGTGACCCTGGCCACGGTGCTGGGAGTCCCCACACCATCCTCTTACCATCCTCTTCCTCCTGGGAGCGTCACCATGGCGGGGGTATTGAGGGGGGTCACAGCCCCATGGGCCTTGGTGCTCCATGTCCCCCCGCACCCACCAGTCCCCCTCACCCCTTCTCAGCACTGGGGCTGCCCTGGAGCCCCTGTTCTGGCCCTGACTGGGGACACCGGCGCCAGCCTTGACACAGTGTCCAAGCACGGGGCCAAACCCAAACAGGTGCCCGGTCCTGCTGGGGCCTTATCAGGCCTTGGCACGCGGAGCGCGCGCCGGGCAGACTGTTGTGTCTGCAGGGCCGCCTGCAGCGGGGCCGTGCTCAGCCCCAGCAGCAGCCCTGCACCGTCCTGATGGCCGTGCAGGGGACATGGGGGTCTGGCTGAAGCCCCCTGTCACTGTCCTCCTGCCCCGAGGTTGCAGTGCTGCAGCTGAGGAAGGTGCTGGGTGCTGGTGCATGGGGCAGCCCTGCCCTCCTGCTGCTCCCAGGGCTCCTGGCTCAGCCGTCCTGGGCTCTGTGGGACTCCCTGGACCTGGAGAGAGCCAGGCTGGAGGCTAAATCCCCTCGAGCCAGTGTGCAGGGGCCAGAGCCCTCCCTGCTGCAACTGCAGTCCCTGCAGGTGCAATAGCTGCGCCCGTGGTGACTGCACCCTCCACAGGGTGCAGGTATTGCCCCCGCAGTGATTGCACCCGCTGCAAGCGCAACCCCTGCACCCATAGCTCAGCGCGTGCCGCAGGGTGCAGCGGGACCCCCACTCCCCGTCCCCGTGCCCTGCACAGCGCCTTCCACCCCCGCTGCGGCCGCATCTCCTCCCCCGGCCCCGCGCCGTGGGCCACAGTGCCCAGCTCAGCCCCCCACGGGAGCGTCCGGCGGGGCGGGCGCGGGGGCGTGTCGGGGCCGCCGTGATAACCGCGGGCCGGCAGCGGGGCGCGTGCGGCACCATGTCCCCCCGCGGCGGCGGCTCCGCGGGCCGCGCCGGCGCCCGGCGCCTGCTCCGCACCCTGTGCGTGCTCTGGGCGCTGGCCGCCCGCCCGCCGCCCACGGCTGCCCAGTGGTTCTACGGCCTGGACGACGAGGAGCCCACGCCGGGGGCGAGCGCCGGCCCCGCGGCCCCCACGCCGCCTGCGCGGGCCCGGGGGGCAGGTAGGTGCCCGCGCTGGGGACGCCGCCACCTCCGAGGGGCCACCGGGCCTGGCCGGAGGGACCACATCCGAGCCGGCCACGCCGGGCTCCCGCAGGCGCCGACGCCGCCGGCGCGGAGCCCCCACGGAAGGTGCTGCTGAACAAGCCCCCTCTGGCTACCAACTCCAGGAGACGGGAGCCGCTGGGCAAGGCGGCCGCCAAGGCGCCCGGCCGGGCCTCACCACGCGCCCAGGTGCCCCCCGGCTCCGCGGGGGCTGCTCCGGGGCTTCCCGGTGCCTCCGGAAAGCCCCGTCAGGCTCCGGGAGAGGCGGCAGCTCCTGCGCCCTCGCAGAGCGGGAGCCGGGGGGCTGCGGTGGCCACGGCCGCTGTCCCCTGACCGCCGCTCTGTCCCCACGTCGGTCGTAGCCCCGGCAGAGCACAGCCGCCCCGGACATCTTCGAGGGCAGTGCGGACAAAGAGGAATTCCTGCAGATCCAGGTGGCAGCGGGAGCCGCTGGGGACAGGGACAGGGTGGGAATGGGGACAGGGCTAGGATGGAGATGAGACTGGGATGGGGATAGGAATGGGGATGTAGATGGGACAGGAATGGGGACGGGATGGGGATGGGGATGGGGACAGGATGGAAATGGGAATAGCAATGGGGACAGGGATGGGGACGGGACAGGAATGGGGACAGGATGGAAATGGGAATAGGGATGGGGACAGGGATGGGGATGGAACAGGGGTGGGGACAGGATGGAAATGGGAATAGGGATGGGGACAGGGATGGGAACAGGATGGAAATGGGAATAGGAACAAAGACGGGGATGGGGATGGGACAGGGATGGGACAGGGATGGGGACAGGATGGGAATGGGAATAGGGATGGGGACAGGGATGGGAACAGGATGGAAATGGGAATAGGAACAGAGACAGGGATGGGGATGGGACAGGGATGGGACAGGGATGGGGACAGGATGGAAATGGGAATGGGGACGGGGACGGGGATGGGGATGGTGCCGAGGCCGAGGCGGGGGGAGCCCCGCGGGCCGCAGCCCCCGGCGGTGCCGGCGCTCAGCCCCGCTCCTCCGCAGACCACGGCGAAGGGGCTGCCCCGGCGGGGGCCCCTGGCCCCCGGGCCCGACACGGCTGCCCAGGTGAGCGGGGGGGCCGGGCGGCACCCGGCCTGGCCCCCCCGCAGCCCCCACAGCCCCTGTCCCCTCTGCAGAACGGCTCCCAGTGCGTCTGCCCCGCGCGGCCGGGCCCCCCGGGCCCCCCCGGCTCCAAGGTACCCCCCAAACTCGCCTCCCCGGCGGGACCTGCCCGCGGAAATTCCAGCTCTTCGGGCCTTTCCTGCCAGGCTCTGGCAGGGGGTGGATGCTGGTGGGCGCCAGGCTCTGCCCTTTCCCAACAGGGAGAGAAGGGCGAGCGAGGGGCTCCGGGGGAGAGAGGCCAGCCGGGATTTTCCGGGGAGAGAGGGAAGACAGGACACCCAGGTCCTCCAGGGCACCAGGGGCCACGGGGCCCCCCTGGGCCCCCGGGACCTCCAGGACCCCCGGGAGCCCCCGGAGCTTCGGGAGCCAGGAGCCCCTCAGGAGCGGCCGCCGCGGCCGAGGGCTCAGACAAGGAGGTGAGGGCTGGAGCGCGATGCCGGGCCCGCAGCGCCGCCGGGGCCGGCGGGAGATGCCGGCGGATCCGTGCGGCTGCCGCTCACCACCTGCTCCGTTTCCCTTCCCTCCCGCAAGCAGCTGGGAGCATCCGGCGCCGGGAGGAAGGCAGGACCCCCCGGAGCCCCCGGGCAGCCCGGCCCGCCCGGCCCCCCGGGCTACCCCGGGCACGAGGGGCCCCCCGGGCTGCCCGGGCGCGAGGGCCAGCCCGGCCCCTCCGGCCCCCCCGGGGCCCTGGGGCCGCCCGGCTTCCCCGGGCCCGAGGGGCCTCCCGGGGCTCCGGGCTCAGCCGGGCCAGACGGACCCCCCGGAGCACCAGGACTGCCAGGCCCCCAGGGGCCCCCGGGGATGCCCGGGCACGAAGGCCCCCCCGGGCCTGTGGGACCCCCGTCGCTCCCCGGCAAACCAGGACTGCGAGGGGAGCCCGGATTCCCCGGGCTGAAGGTAAGGGGGGGGCCGGAGCAGCTGGAGCAGAGCCAG